GCGGCTGCTCAGCTCAGGCTGGGACTCGAACCGCTGTTGCTCAGAGCTCAAACTCTTGAGCGAGCTCTTAACCAACTGAGCCACTCGGCCGGCCCAATGCTGTGCCTTTTTAATAGCATTACCACGTTCTCATTCAATCCACACAACAACCCTTTGAGGTAGGTATTAATTTTATGAACTTTTTTTGAGAGAAGGAAACTGAATCTCAGGGAACTTGTGCAAATTCACATAGCTAATAAGTGGCAGAGTCTGAACTTAAATGTAGGTGTGACTCCAAAGAGGGAATTTGAAACTGCTTGGCATTAAGTATAAGGTGAAGTTCACAACTGGAGAAGAGAGAGCACTTTGAGACTGGGGAAGCTTTGGCCAGTGGTACCTAAGTATCTCTTTCTTTGCACTTCATGATCTTTGTTCTGTGTGTGTAAGTACTAGGCGTCACCACTGGGTAACAGGCTTCTGTCGGGAGCAGTAATAAAAGCTACCCTCTAAGATAGGTGCTTTCTTCTGGTGCTAGAACTGGAGTTCAAGTTAGGTGGGGCTAAGCCTCCTATCGAAACAAGCAGAGGAGCAAAGCGGACCCTGGGAATCTGTAATAGATTTCTATGGCTGTTGTAACCATTAGCCATGAAATTGGTAGCTTAAAGCAACACGTTATGTCTCTTACAGTTCTGGAGGCCAGAAATTCTAAATCAGTTTCACTCAAAGTCAAGGTATCAGCAGAGCTGTCCTTCTGAAGGTTCTGGAAGGAGTCTGCTTCCTTGCTGTTTCCAGCTTCTAGAGCTGCACCGCTTGCATTTGTGGGCTCCTGGCCCCTCCTCCACCTTCAAAGCCAGCAACACAGCGTCTTCAGATCACCCTGCTTCTGTCATATCATCTCATCTGTCGTCACAGCTCCCTCTTCCTTTCTCTTACATTTAGGGCCCTACTGGATAATCTAGGATAATCTCTCCATCTCAAAATCCTTAATAAAATCTATAGTCACTTTTGCCATGTAAGGTAACATTCATAGGCTTTTGGGGATTAGGACATGAATATATTATAAGGCCATTATTTCAACCTATCACAAAACCTGTATAACATTCATGTCAGATTTTTTTTAAGATTTTTTATTGAGGAATTGGGGGAGGGGAACAGTGCTGGGGAATCGGGGAAGGGGAACAGACAAGTTGCTGCCCTTTTGTTCTTCAGTCTAGTTGTGGAAGACGTCACTTCACTGGCCCATGTTGGTGTTATCATTGCGCTCTTCGCAGGTGAGGCAGATCGGTTGCCGGCCNATTACAGTTTTTTCTTAATCATTGTAAGGGTTACATTAGAAATATAAAGTGCTTAGTAACAAATAAATACTTAATAAATGTTAGCTATTATTATGAAATAGACACTAAGTTTGTTACTACGGTTGCAATAGGAACATAAATGACCCTTTCCCCCAATTGTTTAAAAACTTCAAGTTGAATAGTTTATAATGATAGGAAAATAAAAAAAATCTTTACAATTTAGTGATGAACAAAAGCTTTGCTTCTCCTGACTTAAAAGAGAAATT